TCTTAATCAGGATATTAATAAGGAACTAGCAGTTTATGAAGCTTTTGGAATAATCCACCAATTTTTTAAAATTAAACACTATCTAAAGATTTGCATCGAAGCGTTTTTTTTTGATAGTGATTTTAATCACTGTCAGATATCATTATACTTGATCCAACTATGCCACGTCACCACTGTGCCGCGACCCCCCTGTGCTGGGTTTTTTTATTTCTCATTTGTTAGAAATAGATCAACCAATCATGATAAATTGATTTTAACATAATATCGGTAGAACATATGCAATTAAATTTATAGAATTTAATAAATTAAAATTCAATAAAGAAAAAGTACAAAAAATGTAATCTTCAATATTAAGGTCTTTAAATGTTTAATAATAAATACAAGAATTTTGACAAATTTTAATAAATTTTAATAAATTGGCAGTGGTATGGTAGGCGAGACGATCGCACCCCCTACTAAAATTAATTAAAAGGAGAAAATTAATTGTATATTTTTAACTCTACATTTTTTAATAATATTTTTTTATTAAAAATGCAAATTTTAAATAGTAAAATAGTTATAATATATTTGTCGTGTGCGAACATTAAAGTTGTTTCCCTCAGTATAAGCAAGTACGCATTTACACACGAGTAGTGTTTAGACGATCAGCAAGGTAAAATATTAGTATACAGAGTAGACTAACTACGACTCAGGAATTATCTTTAAAAATATTAGTGTTATCATATATGTAATTATTTTATTTGTTGAGCTACTTGACAAGAAAAATAAAGATTTCATATTCATCCCTTAACCCTTAAATCAATATCAACTTAAGTTTTTCAATTAGCAACCCAATTTTTTTTTTATTAATCTTGTTAAGCATAAAAAAAAAAATTCTCAAAAAAATCAAAAATTTTGATAAATTCTAAACAAAATTTCACTATTTAGAGTTTAGCGAATTTAACAAATAAAACAGTAGTCGGTTAAATACAGTAACAATAATATTTAGTGTACCGATAAGAACTATCAGTGTATTGTTCTCGGTTATCGGTTTACGACCTGTAAAATTTGCGCGTCATTTATAAATCAACGTGAGTAATACTCACGTCTCCTAAAATTTAATAAATCATAGCTCGCTGATAACTGAATAAAATTAAAAAAAATTTTATGAAAATTTTTTTTAACTGAATATAAAATGATTCTATAAAAAAATAGGGTTAACATTTAAAAATTGAAATTTGATACTGATTTAAAGCATGAGGTATGATCATAAAAATGTAATTTTACTCACTGAGAAGCCCAAGATAGAAACATATTATTTCATCAAAAAAAAAGGGATAACTCTTATATTTTCATAGATAATTTGTGAGGCATAGTTAATCAAACACTCTGTATTACTATATAGAGTAATTTATTTTTAGAATTAACTGCGTGTACGCTCGTCTTTATCAGTTGCTATAATAGTATAATGATTACACTATAATCGCAATTATTACTATTTTCGTTTCTACTTTTAACACGCTTATATTAGTTTCACCTGTATGTATGTTTGTATCTCTCCACGCGCCACGTGTTATTATCTTGCATATCCCGTCGTCTACAACCTTAAGACTAGACAGTCGTAACACATTCACCCCATCCCAATTGAAATTAAACAATACAATTATTGTTTAAATACATACACGAAAATATAAGTATAATAAAATGTGTAATTTAAAAAATCATATTGATTAAGCCATTTTTAAAAAAAACCTAGCACAGGGGGATCGCGGCACAGTGGTGACGAGGCATAGTTGGATCAAGTATAATGATATCTGACAGTGATTAAAATCACTATAAAAAAAAACGCTTCGATGCAAATCTTTAGATAGTGTTTAATTTTAAAAAATTGGTGTATTATTCCAAAAGCTACATGATCTGCTAGTTCCTTATTAATATCCTGATTATGATAAAGTATGTCGAATGAAAAAGGATTATTAAAAAATATTATATTATATATATTATAATATTATATTCTCATAAAAAAATTGTGTTGATCCATACACTTTTTCAATAAGTTATAGCATTATAAAATTAAATATAATATAAAAAATAAAATCGAGAATTTTCACACGAAAATAACATTCGATAGCCATTTTCGCCATGAAGACAAGTCCAGAGGTCAAATTTTTTTTTTCAAATTAAAGTATATTACAATAGCTTTAATTTAAGATATATATAAAAGTGTCAGACCTTCCGGAACACTTTCAAAATTTAAGTTGAAAAAGTAAATTTTTTGTGAAAAAGTTGTCTTTTTAAATTCCCCCCTGTAGGCAGATAAAGGGTCAGATTTACAAAAAAAATATACCAAATGAAAGGTATTGATATTATGCATCTATATAAAAAAGAATTATATTGATATGTTTATTTTTGAAAAAGTTATGGCACTTTTAAGTAAAAAAATTGAAAAAATTTCGAAAATTTGCGATTTTTAAATTTGTAATTTTTTTGGAGGTTTCCCCCATTTACAGGGAATGAGGGAATTTTTTTCCAATTTTTAAGGGTAATGTCTTCGACTATATACGATTTGTGATCTTTTGACGTATCGTTGAAAGAAATCCGTTCGGTGAGAGCTGAGAAAAAGTGGTAACAGACACAAAAAAT